AGTTCAACACAACCAAAATGAAGGTACTCTTTATTTCCCCAGGTACCAAACTTGTCCCTCCAAGTGTCCCTTAATAGTCATACCACCTATTCACCCACCCAAGTCAGAAATGTGTGTTGTCTTACCAACTGTATCAACAGTGTGGGAACAGTGTGTTTGAAGGCAGGTCCAGGCCCCAGGCCTTAGGCCCCATGGGGAAGTATAACAATGCTCTTTTACCTATTGGCCGGTCGTGCTTGGGCACGTGTAGCTTTGTCCATTAAGTCTACACTGCCAGAAAGTCTTAGCCCCAAAGCACTCAGCTTTCTTGCTTTTTGGCTAGGGAGGTGGTTGTTCTGGTTCCACTGCCTGCTTTGTCATCTCTGGTGTCACAGTTTTGTCTTCTGCACTGAGGAGGCTTAGTGAAGGTGTCTTCTCGAGGTCCGAGGGGGATGCTCCACTCCTGGTTCAGAGACCCCCTTTCTACCTTTGAGATGGCTCGTTTAAAACCTAGGATGGCAAAACTGACCCTTCCCTATGTTAGGGCTTCACACACCTCATTTGCATGGCCCCAACCCACAAGTGTGCCGTATATCTCATTTACATTACTTGCAAGTTACCCATTCTCCCTGCTGGGCCCCAAACATTTCATGTTTGCATAGGTAGGCACTACAAAGACCAGAGTCAGGAGCCATTCACTGCAGCATACCACCTCACTCTCCTACCCTCATCTATCTGAGCTCCACTTTTTGATATTTTAAACATCCCTAGAGCCAAGAAGCTTAGGTGGCACAGTGGGTTTTCTGTTGGATTGCTAACCATAAAGTCAGCAGTTTGAAACCACCTGCCACTCGGGAGAAAGATGAGACTTTCTGCTCCCATGAATACTTACAGTCTCGTAATTCCACAGGAGCAGTTCTACTCTGTCCTATAGAGTTGTTGTGAGTCAGAATCAACTCGATGGCAGTGAGTTTGGTTTTGGATTTTGAGAACCAGCCACTCTCCTCCCAGTGGTACCCATTATGCAAATCAGCCTGTTCTTGCACCAAGAATAGTCTCAAATCGATTTTTGCTCTCTGCTAATCCAAATTGATCATTTTAAAGTAAAATTAAAAAAAATTTTTTTCTCTTGCCATTTCTTACTTAAATCCAACTACTGACTTCCCATGGTTCTTGAGGCACACTCCAAAATACTTGACTAGGGCCATCAGTCCTCGATGATGCAGTTCCCTTCTCCTCCAGCATCTTTCTGGTGCCTCACCATCACCATCCAGCCCCTGTGGCCTTTTGGAAGCTAAAGTAGCTCTTTTATTAGATTCAATGGTGGGCAATGATCCAGTAAGACCTTGACATTTGTCACATTGTGACAAATCAAATGACTTTTGTTAGTCATTTAAAGCTGGTCCTCATTATTCATATTTCTCAAAATACAGTTCCGAGATATCTTACCTCTCTACATAAAGCTATAGCAGAATAAGAAAAACTGCTTATTCTTGTCCAAGAGTAAGCTCACTAGACTTTTATGAGATTCAAAACAGTCTCTTAAAGGTTAATGGGTCCCAAAAGTTCCCAGTCCAGTACAAAAACTAACTGGTGTCCAGCCCCGGGAGTAAGGATTTTCATTTGCCCAAGTTGAGATGTTGAAACTACCCCTCCCCTCCACCACCACCCCACAACCTACTTTTGCCATCATTCTGCAAAAGAAAGAATATTTTTAAAACAACAAAAATTAGACACCCAAAATATCAGAATACAAATTAAACTTCTAAATTTAAAGTTATTATTTTATGTCCTTTCGATGAAACCGAAAGTCAAACCAAATCCACTGCCATTAAGTTGTTACCAATTCATGGTGTACCTATGCAGGGTTTAGGAGGCTATAAATCTGTGTGGAAACAACAGAGTCTCAACTTTCGCCTCCTGGTGGGTTTGAACCACTGACCATGAAGCTAGCAGCTCAACATTTAGCTGACAGTGCCACGGGGGCTCATTCATTGAAGAACTCTGAAAATAGCTCTTTACACAAATACACTAGTGACTGGAGCAGATTTTGACACCTACTGTCCAATTCACTGAGGGGGTTGATTCTGCTTGTTCTGAAGATAGCTTTTAAAATATTTTTGCTTGAAAATAATAGGTATCAAGAAAAGAGATAAAATTTAAAAAGAAAAGAGCCACTTGGACATCTGAAACCGATCCGACATGCACCGTTGGGCCTCAATAGTACTGGTTGGTCTGATTGTCACAGCCAGGCCATTTTTTTTCTCCTGTTGAAAGTAAGCAATCTCATATAATACCAACCTCAGGCAAGGTTAATCTGAGTCCATGATAAAATGAGACCCCAAAAGGCCCCTTCATAATTTTGTCTAAGCACAGACAAAAGCAAGAGCCTTGTGCAATCCATAAACATACCAAATACCCATTTCTCTTCCTAAACAAATTCAGGCTATTTATCAAATCACTGAATTGTATCATTTGGGGGCAGCATCCGGTGTAGCACAAACTCTTGTTTCTTTAGACCCTCCCCAAATCACACAACCAATGGCCCAATTCCTCCTAATATCCTCTTGCCAACACACATCATGCGTGCCACCACCCATAAGGCAGTGGAGGCTTGTGTGTTGCTATGATGTGGAACAGGTTTCGTGGAACTTCCAGACTAAGTAAGCTAGGCTTGGAAGAAAGACCTGGTGATCTACTTCCCAAAATAAGGCAATAAAAACGGCAATCTCTGAAAAAATACTGTCCTATCCCGTAGGATCGAACAGATGAAATGTATTTCAGTTTGCATGGAGGCAAACACTATGGGGATGGAATAGGCCTGGGCAGCCCTCAGTTCCACTGTTCATGGGGCTGACTGGTCACAAGTCAGCAACCATCTCTTACTAAGAAACCCAATGGTTCCTCATAGTGTGTGGTTTCCACCCTGCCAAGAGAAATAAACTTAATTTGTTCAATTATTGGTGTGTTTTTCGTGATTGAAAAGTCCTGGTGACACAATGGGTTATCTCCGAGTTGCACTGCAGTTTGAAACCACTAGCCAGTCGGTGGGAGAAAGACAAGGCTTTCTATTCCCATGAAGGATCTACAGTCATGGAAACCCACAGGGGCAGTTCCACTCTGTGCTACAAGGTCACTATGAGTTAGAATCAACTTTATGGCACTGAGCTCTGTTTTAGTGTTAGTTGGTGGTGATTTTTGGCTAAAGGGTACCAACAGTATCAATGTATTATGATTTCCTATAATTGTAAGCATCTAAAGCAAATTAATTTCCTATAGAACTCTAAACCCAATTAATTTTAGTTTTTCAAATAACATTCCACAATGTTGGTCTACTTGTCTACATCATGTACCTTTTCTGTTTTTGGTATCCCTGTCCATACTATTTTGTCCATTCTGCTTTTTCGGCTTTAACATGATACACATTTTTAATGGCTGAAAAAAAGTTTCACTACGATTTCATTCTTTTTTTTTTTTTTAAATTTGCTTAGTCCTTTTTTTAAAAAAAATCATTTTATT